TATATATATATAGTAATTGTTATATATATATATATATATATAGTAAATAATAAAAACACTAAAGTATGCATGTTAGTCTTTATGGAATACTACATGCTAGCTTGTTATTAAGCAGTTGGAAAATATCTCTTATATTATTATTTTGTCTTACACATTTCAACCGCCAATGAACTGCCATGATATTAATTAGTCTCAAAGTTTTGTTATTAAATATTTTAGTAATTTAGTTCCTATCATTATTTTTTCACAGCTTTGTGAAACCAGGAGCTAAAAATAGCTTAATACTTTGTAGATTTTTAGCAGTTACTGAATTTTAATTTGCAATTTTGGCTCATTTATTTGCAAATAACAGAAAAAGATATTTCGTTACATACTTAGGTCACCTTGAACCTTCAATATAGGCAATAGGCAAATACATTACATCATGACACTCAGAAGCCTAGTGTCTTGATACATTTTGTATCAAGATATTTTTGATAACCACAAGAAACATTTCTCTACTTCTCCAAACATCACACTGCAGTCATCTAATCATATTTTATACATGTTAATATAAGGTTTAGAAACTAATCAAATTAAGTAACATAACAGTACTATAACTACTAAATGAAAATCAGGATCCAACTCTCCTTGTGAGATATTAAATAAATTAATGAAACATTACTTAATACCATTTTGACCATTCAACTTTCACGAAATGACAGCACTTTTTGCCGCGACAAGTAAGTTTGTCTTTTAAAATTCTTTCAGCCACGTATGTATCTAAAATGGATGATGCCCTACTTTGGGCATACAATTAGATTTGACGGTAGGTTGGTAGAGATCCTGATGAGTAATAAAATCGAATCAGGTATACATGCACTCTACGCTTGGTATTGCTGGTGCACAAAAATCATAATCATTGACTGCATGTTTTACCCGCAGCACATTTCAATTTTGAAATTGCCTAAATTAAAGTGCGCTTCTTCAGCTCAGCAGGCTAACAAAGCTTAAACCAGGAAGAAAGACCAAAGAGAAGACCCCAAAATTCATAATAAAGTTTACTGCTTTTAGCACCACCACAATTAATAGTTTTCAAGGTCATACAGATGACAAAGAAGGAACATGTCTTTGAGAACCAGTTTTTTTCACATTTCAATCTATAAGGATTGAGCAAGAACATTTAAACATAACTTGAAAATATACAAAAGTCAAAATGCTAGTCAAGCAATACTTAAAGGAGATGACCAAATATACGTAAAAATTGTTGTTTTCGTGAAGTACTAGAAATAAGATATTCATTCTCCATACATACACATATTGTTACTAGATTATAAATAATTTTTTAAAAGCATGTTCATAGAACATTTATTTAGATATAATTTTGAGAAAAAAAATTAATCATTACTTTCTGTCATACAGTCACAATGTGCAAAAATGCAGGTTCAGAAAATGTTAAGTAGAAAATAAATTGAATATGTAAACCAAAAGTTTATGGAATAAGAGACACCGATTGAGGCTCCTTTCTCCGACTTGAGAGTGTAGTATAATATTATTCTTTTTGTGTTAACGTATTTGGAAAGCCTCTACCACCACAGTAGCCAGTAAGAAATCACAGAAGAAGATGGCCAGTTTTGTGTTAAACATTAAACTGTTGGGAATAAATATTCATTTTCTGTTTGCTTATTTTTCTTAAGAGGTTCTCCCTTCCATATGTTATTTTGAATAGTCATTGATTAACTAAATGGGCTTGCCCCACCTCAAGGAGTAGGCACAGGGTTATGCTGATAAAAGCATCTATAGGATAGTCATTGCTGTATGTAACCTTTTCTTAAGCTAAATGATTAGCATGTTTATGACCTTCTGACATCCTGTTTACAAGGATGACATTAAATAAGTGCAGAAAATCCACCTACCGGGAAATTTAGAAACTTACCTAAATATACCTTACTACATATAAATTCTAAACTAGCTAAGTAAGGCTGAAATTAATAGTTATTTCAACTGCGATATATATATATATATAGTGCTGTAAACTTAATCTTAACACTGTAAGAAATAAAAGCAGTTATTAGTTACCAAATTAAAAATAGGAAGCATATGTTAATAAAGTATTACCTGATTATCACTGTAACCTAAGACAGCTGTTTTCTCTTCTTGGGAGTATATTTTCATATCCAAAAGCCCATGCCAAAAATCTAAAACAATTAGAATATATGCAAAGCTTTTATTTTTCAGTGTATACACTGTTAAGCAATCTCACAGTAGACTAAACCTAATTGTTGTTTAAGACTCATAATGTAGGTAAATTAATATGTAGAATTATACATGGACTTTTCTCTTTTTAAATTCTTCAGTCTAAACCTAATGTTGAAAAACCCAAATAACATGTAATTCTCAAGTTATTAAACAATTAGAAATAAGATTTTGCCTTTATTTTATTAGGTTTGGGTTGTCTTATTATGCATAATGAAAGTAAAATATTGAAAATTTAAATATCACAAACTAATGCGATATCTCTCTTAAGCCTAATGTATATATTGTGGGAATTACAAAGACCCAAAATTGACCAATCTCATTCAGTACCTGCTCATGTGGCACTTAACACCACCATGCTAATCACTGGTGTAAATATTATGTTAAAATGTCTTGTAATAAGTAACGTAAATTAATGAATTTTCTCATTTTTCTAATATATTTATAAATTACACTCTAAATTTATTCTTAGACTAAATTCCACTTTTATAAAGCACCAGTCATCTTCACTGGGTAAAAAGAATGATAAAATGTTAAAAATATGAAACAAAAAAAACATTTTTTTTATGTTTATAAAGCTCAAAATTAGCAGTAGTTGGCTGGCAAAAAAAGCCAGTGACCACCAACATATTTTTACAAGTTTATAAATATAGGAATAATAATGAAAACACATAACAATTGTAAAGAATGGTGAAAAAAAAAGAAAGAAAAGAAGACAAAGCAGTTAAAAACCGGTTCTTACCTACTGATTTTTTTAAATCAGAGCTAGCTAGTGTAACTTTTTGGACAGGATCTGTGAATAAAACATAGTTATTAAAGCTAGAATACAACATTCAATAACATAATTGCTGCTATTTTTTCTTCTAAAAGTAATAATGACAAGCTACTAGAAGCAAAAACATTACATAAAAACTTCAGTATTATTGGGGAACATTTATAATATAAGAAATGATAAATGTGCAATCAAAAAATGAATGAGGGTACATGTCAGTGATGATTGTTATTTTATACATATAGCCAATAGGAGCATGATGTAGAAATTGAGCATGCCTCTAGAAGCTTTGAAGTTTACAGCAACTCATCTAGTTGGCCAAATTCAGTAGTAATCCTACAAATTTACCACAAATGAGAATATATATATAAATCAATGAAAAGCAAGTTTGGACAGCAAGACAAGGGCACAGACTGGAAGAAAGATCAGAGTAAAGATTTAATCAAGGCCTTTACACAAATCAGCGGACGTGAAATTACCCTTTAATGCAGGGGTTCCCAACCAGGAGTGTTGTTACCCCTTGGCGGTGCGAAATTATGGTCCAGGTATAGAAGGTCCGTTTTCTCCCAAATGTCGGCAAGAGGAAATGTCTAATGCATACTTTTTAGGGGAGGGGTGCGAAGGCTACAAAAGGTTGGGAACCACCGCTTTAATGTATTTGAAAATGTGAAGATAACTGACAGAATGAATATGAGTGATGAGCACTAAATAAAGTTCATCAACAGAAAAAAATGCCATGAGCAGAGTACTGCCCTCTATCTTAGAGGAATCACCATCCACCACAAGAAAAATTTAGGAAAGAGAACATTTACTAAAGTTTTTAAGTGAGGAAGTGTTAGAAATAAGTTTATATTTTTTTAGTTCTCCAAAAATCTTTTCCTGAGCATCCAGGATTGGAGGTAAAAAAGAAAAGAAACATGATTGTAAAATAAGATAATCATATAAATATAAAATTTGAACAACAGATATCCTTCATTCCCCCACACATCTACAAATTAATTTTAAGATGATTCTATGAATCAAGAAGAATGAGTTGAAGTGAATATATCTCCTTCCAAAAAACCTTCAAGTGATACTCAGAAACATATTTCATTTGTTTGATAAAAGCACATACATTAAACAAAACTTAATACCAGCAATCAGGGTTGAACTTTGTGAATTCAGTTTATGCAATATCAGAAAAGTGTTTGTTTTTTTTCAGAATATTTTTAAAGACTTTAACCCTTTCGAGACAAGTGACAGTTGAAAGGCCATGTCATCTCGTTTGTTGACTCGCATTCAAAATTTTATTGAACTGCTATTTCATGAATTTATGTCAATAAGTTTGGTATCAAATTGTAGATTATAATTCAAATTTTAGAACAATACATTACTCAATTTGTTAATTTAAAAGTAAATATTAAGAAACACAGATAAACTTTGATTTTTGTGTGTCACATGGTATGTTGAATGCAGCACTGGTTCAAATTAGGTGTTTGTGAAGTCAAAATACTAAGTCTATAGTTTCATATGAATTAGATACTTAAATTACAGATATTGACAACCTAGAATACAAAATAAGAAGGTCTTATCTTTTCTATTTGCTAAGATATTGCTCACATAATAAATCAAACATAGTGGCACCCCACTCACCACCTTCCATTTTTGGAAATGCTCCCTTATATATATACTTACTTCTACATATGCCATGAATAACCAATCAGAAGCTCAGAATGTCCCCTAGTGGTTTTCTCAGCCTTTCTAATGTACCTAGCACCATTTATTTCTTTTAAACCAAAATTTAAATGAGGTAGGTTGTGTCTTTAGTCTGCTTGAAATTTCATATTTGTTTTAGACCATAATACAGCTTATTTACTAACTTTGATAAATTAAAGTAGAATTCTATGGTACTGATGTAGTAATTTATGATTTTTTAGTTATTCAAAAATATATATATAAAACCTAAAAAAAATATTTTGTTTCATATCCTCCACGTGCAAAATTTTTAAAGGCTTAGCAACCTACATCAAACAGCAACCAAGTACAAAGGTCGTAACTAGAAGAGATAATTGTTTGCTTTATCCTACATTTACTGTTCTAAGTTTCAAGAAAAATAAGTTTAAGAACTTATCGCAAAATAGTAATAATCTGTA